AGAAACTGCTCTTCTATTGCAACCACAATAAAGCGGCTAGCTCCAACTATGCCTCTTACTTTGCTTTTGGGTGTGTGTGATATGACGTGTTCCATAACACCGGGTGAGTCTTAGAGCTGTAGTTGAGAGTAACTGCTTTTTCTCAAGTACACTCATGAATGCCATATTCTGCCCTTCGTAATCATGGCTGCAGTTCAAACAGCCTCTACAGGGATTTAGAGGCTTAAAGCCATATCTCAAACTGCTGAAAATCAGATGTAATTTCAATAGACTTAGCAAGTTCAACTGGTTGTTTACAGCATTGTCAGCAACACTTCCCTTAGGCCCTGGTGTGACGGGGTTTTGTCCTGCGCTCTGGGCACTGACCGCACCCTACACTGGGGTGAAGAAGCTGTGGAGCTAAGGAGGTAAGTTAAAAAAAAAAATTAACTTCTGTGCCTGGAAGTCTTTTTTTTACCTTTTTATTTTTTTAATTATTTTTTAGTTTATTTTTTAAACATATATTTTATGGATTATGCTATTACAGTTCTCCCATTTTTTTTCTCCCCTTGATTCCCCTCAATCCTGCACTGCTCCTCCCCTTAGCATTCCCCGCCCCCACCTGCCTCAGTTCACGGCCCTGGGTTGTACGTAGAAGTTCTTTGGCTTTTCCATTTCCTATACTATTCTCAACCTCCCCTTGCCTGTTTTGTACCTACTATCTATGCTGCTCATTCCCTGTACCTTTTCCCCAATTCTCCCCCTCCCCTCTGATCTTCATTTCTGTGATCCTGTTACTGTTCCAGTTATTTGCTTATTTTATTTTTGTTTCTGTTTTTTGAGGTTCAGTTGTTAATAGTTGTGAGTTTGTTGTCATTTTACTGTTCATAGTTTTACATCTTCTTCTTTTTCTTAGATAAGTCCCTTTAACATTTCATGTAATAAGGACTTGGTGATGATGAACTCCTTTAACTTGCCTTTCTCTGGGAAGCACTTTATCTGTCCTTCCATTCTAAATGATAGCTTTGCTGGATAAAGTAATCTTGGCTATAGATCTTACTCTTTCATGACTCTGAATACTTCTTTCCAGCCCGTTCTTGTCTGTAAGGTTTCTTTTGAGAAATCAGCTGACAGTCTTCTAGGAACTCTTTTGTAGGTAACAGTATCCTTTCCTCTTGCTGTTTTTAAGATTCTCTCCTTATCTTAATCTTGGGTAATGTAATTATGATGTGCCTTGGAATGTGCTTCCTTAGGTCCAACTTGGGATTCTCTGAGCTTTCTGGATCTCCTGGAAGTCTATTTCCTTCACCAAATTGGGAAAGTTCTCCTTCATTATTTTTCAAATAAGTTTTCAATTCCTTGCTCCTCCTCTTCTCCTTCTGACACCCCTATGATTTGGATGTTGGAACATTTAAAGTTGTCCCAGAAGTTCCTAAGCCTCTCCTCATTTTTTTGAATTCTTGTTTCTTCCTTCTGTTGTGGTTTAATGTTTATCTCTTCCTTCTGCTCCCAAGTGTTGATCTGAGTCCCAGTTTCCTTCCCTTTGTTATTGGTTCCCTGTATATCTTTCTTTATTTCACTTTGCATAGCCTTCGCTTTTCCCTCCATTTTTCGACCATACTCAGCCATTCAGTGAGCATACAGATTACCAGTGTTTTGAGTTGTGCATCTGATAGGTTGGCTATCTGTTCGTCGTTTAGTTCAATTTTTGGAACTTTGATCTGTTTTTTCATTTGGGCCATATTTCTTTGTCTCAGTGCATCTGTTACATTGGAAGGGGCGGAGCCTTAGGTATTGGCCAGGGCAGGGGCAGCCCAGGTCGCTGAGTTGTGACGCTGTGTGTAGGGGAGGGGACCAAGAGGGAACTATGCCGCTTGCTCTGCTCTCTGCAGGCTTTCAGTCACTTCCCCCTCTACCTACAAGCAAACTGGGCCCTTCTGGTGCTGTTTCCCAGGTGGGTGGGTTTGTGTATGTTCTAGGACCCAGTGGGTCTCTCCAACGGACTCTCCTGTATGGCTGGGAGTTTCTCCCACTGTTGCAACCCCCGCAGGTTATTACAGCCAGAGGTCTTGAGGCTTTTTTTCCCCACACACTGGAACCCTGGATTGTGCCATCTGTCTTGCTCCCCAGCTGTTCCTTATGGTTTATCTTCACACAAATGTGGGACCACCGGGTCCTCCAGCCACTGCCTTGCCGTGTGTTTTCTCTGCCCGACTGCCCGTCTCAGCCCCTCCTACCAGTCTGCATGAATGTTTCTTCTTTAATTCCTTGGTTGATGGACTTCCATGCAGTTTGATTTTCTGGCAGTTCTGGTTATTTTTTTGTTTTTAAATTTGTTGTTGTCATTTTCGTTGTGTGAGGAGGCAAAGTATATCTACTTACGCCTCCATCTTCCTGAAAGTCTTTTAAAGGAAAGGGTTTATTAGGCAATCATTAGAAGAAAAAAAAAAGACGGGTCTTGGGGCATGAAATCGAAACCATCAACAGCATGGTTAGGTAAGAAAGAAAACATGTCTATCATCCTGAAGTTTTGCAAGCATTTTTATACATCAAGTCGGGGCAGTAAGATGTAAGTTGGTCTGAAACGATTTACATTAGCTATAGACAAAGGGGATGGGAGAAGGTGAAGCAAGGCTAATTGCAAGGATGAAGTGCCTGCTTCTGTGGATTAGCTGAAGACAACAGATTGGAAAGTTCATGTGCAAAAAGGTGGAGTCTCCTAGGGTTCTGTAGCGCCTGATTGATGTCTCTTTGGGATAATCAGAGAAATAGCCACCTGGAAATTAATCCTAAATTACAACAGATACACAGAAATGTAAGCAGTCTTTTTGTCAGAGCTAGCCCACAGCTATTAGCAGGCTCTGTTGTTTCTTTCTCTCACTCTCTGGCTGCTATACTTTTAATTTAGAGAATCTCAGAATTATTTTCTTGCCAGGGCTCTTCAACCTTCCTCACCATGCTATGGTGCCAATGGCTCTGAATTTCCCGCCTGTTTCCACCCTTGAGTGGTCTCCTCCTTAGGTCTGAGGTTCAGGTCTCTCAAGGGGTGACAGCTCACAGGTGACTGGGCAACTACAACTTGCATATGCGGCCTGGGTAGCCACGCAACATTCATGAAGCCCCTCATGTGCAGGACGGAGCCTGGGCTGAAAAGAGAAGGGCCTGGGCTGTGGGCTGGGGCTGGCTCTCCCCACGTTGTCACCTGCAGAACAGAATTCGGAGAAATCTGGGAATTCTAAATCGGAGCCTGACCTTCATGATGGTAATATTTGTTAAGGTAGGAGGATAACACACTTTACTGAACAGTTTGCTAGACTAAAAGATTTTCAGTATTTAGACATATGGTTGTGGATGTCTTTTTGTATTATTTCATTTATATAGACTGTCCAGAATAGGTAAATCCATAGAGACAGAAAATAGATTTGTGGTTGCCAGAGGCTCGGGGGAGAGGAGGGAGAGTATAGTGCTGGTGAATTTGTACATCTCTGAAGTCTACACATTGCCTGTCTGTATGTGTATCTATATCGATGTTTGTTTGTACACATAAGGGTATATCAGTGAATTAAGAGAAGTAGTAATTTACTCTCCAAGTGATTGCAGGGCAGGGGGTGGGTGGTGGGTAGGCAGGGGCTGGAGCGCGAGGAGGATGCAAAAAGAATCTAAGAAATCATACCTGCCTTTTAGGAGCTTAGGGTATAGGGCTAATTATTTAGAGCAATATGTAACGTAATTCAATGATGCCACAACTACGTATACATTTGGGAGAATTGCTTCACTTCTCCAGATGTTAGTTCCTTAGTCTGTTAATCCTGAGGGTTGAACTAGATGACCCTTAAAGGTCTCTTCCAGCTCTAACATTGCACAAATCTGTGATTTTAGACTACCCTTGCAGCCCTGCTAACTGGGTTCTGGAGTAAGATAAGTCGTCCAATCGATGTATTTATTACACGACCTTATTGTGTGAGGGTGTGTTTATGGAAATAAGAAACTGTATTTTGATGAACTACAGCCTCCAAACGTCAGCTTTTTAGGTTGAGCAGAATTTTTTTTTTTTCTAATTTTCCGGTACCCGCCCAAGATCTAGATGACATGCCAGGCAGCCGGAGGAGGGAGGAGGAAGGGGAGGGGTGGAGGGGCTTAGCAAGTTGCTATGGAGCACGACGCGGTTGAAATCGGAAGTGGTCCTTGCACATCACTTTCCCCGGAAAGGTACATTTGAAAAACAGTACCATTCTAATTTGCTTTTTCCTAAACTCATAAATAAAGATACAGTCCAACTCTCGCTCTCAGCTCCCTAATGAACAAAATGAACCGGCAAGCAAAATAGAGAAAGACTCATAGATAAAGAGCAGGCAGACAGCTCTTGAGCGGGGGAGGTTAGAGGGTTAGGGGAGTGGGTGGTTGAGCAGAAAAAGAAAAATGAGAGAAAACAAACTCATGGGCACAGACAACAGTGTGATGATTGCTGGAGATGGCGGGAAAGTGGAAGCGGATGTAGCGGTGACAAATGGTGATGGACGGAGGCTTGGCTTGGGGTGGTGAACACAAGATACAGTGTGCAGTTGATATGTTGCGGAAGTGTGCACTGTATAATTTTGTTAACCAGTGTTGCCCCAATCAATTTAATGAAAAAGGAGAAGAAATGGGGAAAGTCAAGGAACATAGAGCAAGGACTCTTGGACAAAACCAAAGGGGAAGAGTTGAGTGAGGGAGCGAGGGAAGGAGGGGGCAAGGGAAAGTGGTGGGGGGTAGGCAGAGACAAATGTATTTGAAAAAATAAAGTAATTAAAAAAAGAAAAAGGAGAAGAAAGAAACAGGAAAAGAAAAGAAGAGAAAAGAAAACGAAAACGAAAACGACGCTCTCCACCAGAAAGGAACTTCGAATCCGGCAGCGCAGAAGCGCAACGGAACCAAGATACCAAACGCACCGGTTTTCCGGGGAGCGCTTCTAGGGAAGGACCAGACCTCCCGCCCCGCCCCCCCCCCCGGGGTTGCCGTGGAGACAGAGCGAGCTGTGGATGCAGAGAAGCTCGGAGGCCTGGCCTTTGCTGTCTGTCTGCGGAGAAGGCTCCCAGGACCGCCGCCAATATGGTCAGTGGCTCTGAACAGTGAGGGAGAAGTATGAGTATGTCTCGGGACTGGAGGTTAGAGGTCCCTGGCACACTGTTGGGTAAAGTCTAGGGGTGTCAACGCAGAATGAGCTCCCTGCCCTGCCCGTGGGAACACGGGGGACAGGGATGCCATTGTGAATGCCTCAGTGATTTCTTCTTTCCTGCTTCTTTATTTTCTCGCACCCGAGGTGCGCGTGGGGTGGAAAACAGACCAAGGGAAGGAAGGCTAAGATGATCGAAGCCGGACAAAAGCATCTCTCACCTCACTCCAATTGGAGAAGATAAAGAAGTTAGGAGTAGCTCTTCAGTTCAGCTCTTAGTAATAATACTTCTTACCAAGAGTTTCATAGGCTTCCCTGGGGTTTGTTGTGAAGGATTTCGCTTCTAAATCCTGGAGCTGTCCCTCTGTTTAAAACTGACCGTCATAATTAGATCACTGTCTTTGTTGTTTTCTTTCGCAGATGCTTTCAAGGGCCAAACCTGCTGTAGGCGGGAACCAACTGCACACCGAAAAAAGAAAGAAAAAAGGCAGGAAGATGCCAAAGCTAGAGGAGCTACTTTCACAAAGAGATTTCACTGGAGCTATTACCCTATTGGAGGTAATGTCCAAAGAAGGTCGCTTCTTAGGAGGTGACTAACAGAAGTCTGGATGAACGCTTGGGTGGATGCTGGTCGCTGTGCTGTTGGAGCCAGCAGGTGCATTCTGCCGCTGCCTGTAAATCTGGTTAGGCACAGATTCTGGTTCCCAAGTTAGCTATAAACCTAATTAAAGAGGAACCAAAAAGATAGATGTATCTATTATTTTTTAAAAAAATTTCTTTTTAGAGAGAGGGGAAGGGAGGAAGAAAGAGAGGAAGGAAAACATCGATGTGAAAGAAACATCGATCCTTTGCCTCTCGTACAGGCCCCAAATAGGGGACGAACCCACAGCCCAGGCATGTGCCCTAACCAGGAATCAACCCAGTGACCCTTCACCAACCAGCTGAGCCACACCGGTCAAGACTAAACATATTTCTTTTCTTTTCTTTAAAGATTTTATTTATTGATTTTTAGAGAGAGGGCAAGGGAGGGAGAAAGAGAAGGAGAGCAACAGTAATGTGTGAGAGATACATGGATCTGTTGCCTCTTGCGTGCCCCCAACCAGAGACCTGGCCCTCAACCCAGACATGTGCCCTGACTGGGAATCTAACTGGGGACCCTTCAGTTTGCAGGCCAGCACTCAATCCACTGAGCCACACCAGCCAGGACCAGACTAAACATATTTCTTGAGGGACACTTTTAACTGTGTCTAGTCCAACCGATGGTGAATCCAATCTAAAAAACATGGAGGGTCATTTACTAAATGCAATGTCAGTTCACACATTGTTTATCTGAACCCTTGCCAGTTTATGATTTATACTTGTTATATGTTAACATTTTGTATTCAATTTAAATCTATTGTGCTTCATGCTTACTGTCTAAAATACTAAATCTTCAGAAAATATTTCCATCTTTATTGCTGTAGTTCTCAAATTTAATATGCATTGGAATTACCTAGGGTGCTTATTAAAACATGTTCCTGGGATTCTGTCTAGGGATTCTGATTCTTCCTGGAATCAGTCTACAGCAGTGAGCAGGAACCTACATTTCTTAGGCAAGTATCCTGCGTGCTTCTGACATAGATGGTCCAAGGACAGTGCACTTTCAGAAACTGCTTTGTGGGAAGCACATGACTTAGAGGAATGAAGCGGGTGCACCAAAGACTGTAGAGATGACGTTGGACAGCAAGCCTGGCCATGTGGTACCACAGTCATTTCTCCGAAGTGTGATTCCAGACTCAGTACTCGTAATCTGTCAACAGTAATTGTTTTAATTAGCTTTATATAGCTTTCTCAGTCTTCCATGTATAGTCCTACATTTTTTCCTGGTAATCTGGTATGGAGCACATTGTTTTAACTTTTTTGTATCAGCCTTCTCATCTTCAAAGTGAGGGAGTTGACTTAGAAGGACTGCCTAGTTCTGTAAATTAGTAAACTGAGTGGTATGTATATGTCTGATTTTTGTCAGTCTCTGTTTCTCTTTTCTTTTCTTTAAGGCAACAACCACATTTTTCTTACCGTGTGATCCCACACTGCCTTTAAATAGAAGTGCCATGGTTTATGGGAATGGAAACTTCCATGGCAGGGATGAGGAAGTCTCCTGAACTCTCTCCTTACTTCCTGGAACAAATTCAGGGAGACCTCAAATAAGAATTTCTTCAGACCTAAGACACTAACTTAAATTCACAGCGTTTGGTGAGAGGAGGGTTTTAATTTAGCTCCAGGAGTCAGTTCTTAGCCTGGTCAAGAATGTGTTAAAGAGTACCTTCATTTTGTAACAGCTAAGGCACCCAAAGTTCTGGAGCAATGATCTGTAAATACGTGTTTCACTATTTAACTTTTCACCCATGGTTTTGATTTATCACCCTGTAGAGTGAAAATCTCTCACCTTATCGAGGTAGTTCACACTCCTCCTTCAGGGTTCAGTCCTTTCCTCCAAAACAGGACTTTTTTTTTGTTAATTGAGGCATTCATAAATATTTGTTCACAGTGAACGTATGATGCTAGTCTTCTGAACTTCCTTAAAGGGTCCCAGTAAGCCTGTTCAATGGTCAGAGGGTGATTTAGCGGCTTGTCCTCAGTACACAGTTATAACCTATGAATAAATAGGTGCGTGTGTACACTAATGGGCCAGGTTCGGAGCACGCGGTTGAGGACAGAGGGTGAGGACATGGGACTTGGAGCCCAACATGACTGTAAGTTCCTGCCGCTACCCTTCCTGGCTGTGTGGCCTGGGATTTACTGCGCCATCTATCTTCAGTTATTTGGAAGGAGAAAATATTTCACGTAATTCTTATGTTTTCATATATCACCCAGGATTGTTATAAGGATAAATGCTTAAATACTTTCTGGGGTGAGGTATCAGTAAATGTAGGAAATAAATACAAAATATTTGAAAATACAAATTTCTATGACAATTAGAAGGTAATTGTGATCAGTTTTGTAAGTATCAGCTTAATTAAACTGGATATTGATGTGCTTCTGTTACTTGCGATTTTTAAACTATTTGTCAGTAACTCAATGTAGTATTTTTTAAAAGAGAGGGCTTACTTTTAAAACTTTTTCGTGATTTTTTTTAAATGAAATTTTAACCTGAAGTTCAAACGTCATATTGGGGAACAAGAAAAGGATACTAATTTGTGGATTGGATACTGTGCTTTTCACCTGGGAGACTACAAGAGAGCTTTGGAGGTTAGTAAAAAAAAAAAAAAAGATTTATAACAGAAGGACTTTGAAAATGTTATTAAGCTTTGTATTATAATAATACATGCTCATGATAAAATTCAAACAATATAGAAGGGGGCAATGTAAAAAGAAAAACCGCCCTGTCCACTCTCCCTGATTCTACAGTGTTAATGGAGGCAACCATTGGCTTTTTTTTGATGTATTGCTTCAGAAATCTTCTTGATGTGTTCAAGTATGTGTATATATCTTATTTACTTTTTGCTTTTAGATGGAAATTAATGAGATGGTACAATATATTAACATTAGCATTTCTTAAGTAAGTGTTCGGGAGAGGAAAAATAAACAATTTTGATAGAAAAGTTTTCATGAAGCTTTTCTCAAAAGTTCATTTTTATTTTCTTTGGTTATTTTTATATATTCATTTAACTTATTTTTTAAAGGTTTCACTTATTTATTTTTAGAGAGAGGGGAAGGGAGGGAGAGAAACATCAATGTGTGAGAGAAGCAACGATTAGTCGCCTCTCACACATCCTAACTGGGACCTGCCTGAAACCCAGGCATGTGCCCAGACTGGAATCAAATCCTCGACCTTTAGGTTTGGGGGGTGACACCCACCTGAGCCACACCGGCCAGGGCTTGATTGTTTAGTTTCAGACGTAGGAAAGATTACATTATCTTTATATTTTTGCAAGTATAGTTTTGGAAGTTGTTTTTCTTGGTCACTGTAAACCCTACCTATCTATATAAACAGTCTATAGGATTATGGATCTAGATAAAATTACAGATACCTAATGTCAGGCAATTTCCAATTTATAAATGAAACTATTTAAACGTTTTCCATATATTTATTCCCAAAATGTAATCTAAGGATGTCTAAAGAACCTGCGAAACTAAAATGAAAGTATCCAAGTTATGAGGTGAGAAAGAACAAAAGCCTCAGCAAGGTGAAGGGAAAGGACAGAACGGAGGCTGGTAGTACTTGTGGAAGATGTTAGAGAAAGGAGAGTAACCCAAATGTAAGAAAAAGCAGCGCAGGTGTCTGGTATGCACTGACAAATAGTAAGACTATACAGAAAGTGTAGTTGACAGAGTGAACCTCCGAGAGGGGGCCATCGCAGGGGAAAAAACGCTTCTTAAAAATGTAAAGCCAAATAAAGCCGGAAATGATTAGAATGAAAGGAAATTTGTAGTAAGGCTATCAGATTTTAAGTTAACTGAAACTATGTATTTTTATGTTACCTTTTGTATGTTTTTTAAGTTAGTAAAAATGAAATATTTTAGTTACTTTTCATTTCTGCAGCTTGTTAGCTCATATCAGTGTTAAAAGGGGAAAACACAATTCTATGGAACACAGCTCTGCGTGGGCGGGACTGAGCTTTAGCTGCAGCACTTAACCTTACAGGTGGAGAATAGTTGAGCATGTAGGATTCCCTATGTGTGACGTTGTCCGATCTCAGTAAGAAACCCTACTCCCTTAGGATGGCCCATCTATTACGTTACTGCTGAAATGGGATCACTGCTTAATGTATATTTCAGGAATATGAAAATGTGACAAAAGAGGAAAATTGCAATCCTGAAGCCTGGGTGAATCTAGCCTGTACCTACTTTCTTCTTGGAATGTATAAACAAGCCGAAGCTGCTGGATTTAAAGGTAGAATGGGCCCGTTTAATGTCTGGTAATCATTTCTAATAGCAAGAGTTATTTTGGAGATTTAAAAACTTACTTAATTCCTTTTCTGTTGACAAAAAAATCAAGTGACATTAGAAAGCTAAAAAATAGCTTTACTCTTCAAAGAATATTAGAGTTGAGCAAATTTACATTTAAAGAAAGATTTACTCTCCTGTGCTATCCCCCCTTCTTGGAAGCTACAGCTACTGGCAAAAGAATGAGAAAGAAGAAGGGTGAGGGGTCTTTCTTAGGTCCCACCAAGGTAGCCTATTCATGCTCCTGGTAGGAGTTGGGTGTAGTTGTTCAGGCTGTCATGGATGTGGATTTTATAGCTGCTTTTTCAGCTTCTGAGTGAAAAGCAGAGGAATTTCAATGTGAAGACTCCTTACTTCTTTACTTTTGCTTTATTTGTCATGACAGTCATCCAAGGGGAACTAGACTCAAATTTGCAAAAAAGAGTAGGGCAGAAGGAAATATGGGAGAGAAGATTAGGAATACCTAGAGTATGAATGAAATGAAATTCAAAGAAATGTAGAGAAAGTGGCCATGGGGAAAATATTTGTTAGGGAAGAATGTATTCCAGGTTAGAATTCTTAGTGAATTAACTGCATATACATTTAGAAAGAATTTCAGCTCAAATTCATGGAAAATGAGGAACTTGCAGCCTTTGTTGATTTGTTCCCAAACCGTATCCTATATACTAATGTAGTTTTTCCTAATTTAATTTTAAGGATCTTTGAGTTACTTATCTGTGCCTAGAACAGTGTTAGACACACAGAAGGTGATCGAGTAGCTATGTCTCTTTTCATATATATTTTTTATTTTTTACACACTTTGAAGTATGACTTTTTGACATAAAGAGATATAGGATTGGGTGTCTGGAATAGGAAAACTCTCCAGGAGTGCCAAGGGGATTTTGAACTTGAAAGGTGTTAACCTTTTTGCTGGGCTACCTGTCTCTTGTGGAAGATTCTCGTTCCAGAAGGTCTTTGAAGCAGAGGCTGGGCTAGCATTTAAGAAAACATGGCAGTATAACTATGGAAAAGGAGATCGCAGGATCTGACAAAGAACACTGGGAAGAACAGCTGAGTGAGAGGGGACTCCCACCCATGCTGAGTGACGATGGCTTTCTCTCCAGCGTTTGGTTCTGTGAACGCACAGTGGTGGGCGCTGCGTGTAGAGGGCTGAGCTGGGGCCCACCCTAACAGGATCAGGAATAACAAGGAGGACGAAGAGCAGAACCTTAGGACATCTTTCTTCTGGTTCTTGATGCTGCTACAGGTGGAGACCAGAATAAAATAATAGAAATTATTCTATAGCAGAGATATATCAGGAGCAGAGGGCTAAGGATTTGGGAAAGTTTATCTGAGTCTGATGTCCTTCCTGCATGGGACAAAGTGCCACAGGCCACTGAGTTCTTTAATAAGCAGCTTGGGTGTTTTTTTTTCCAGCTCCAAAAAGCCGACTTCAAAATCGTCTCCTCTTTCATTTGGCTCACAAGGTATTCATATTCTGATTTCAGACTTTTTGATGTAAAAATATTTTTCTTTTTTTCTCTTGTCACCAACAACAGTAAAAAATAATTAACTAGAAATTCTCCTTATGTCCATCTAGTAGATTGAAACACAGATCATTATAAAATGTTTCTCTTTATCTGTAGAAATTTTTTCATATAAAGTCTACTTTGTCATATTTATATAGCTACACTAGCTCTCTTTGGATTACTGTTGGCCTATGTCTCTTTCCATCATTTTACTTTCTACTTTTTTTTAAAAAAGACTTTATTTATTAATTTTTAGAGAGGGGAAGGAGACAGAAAAAGAGGGAAAGAAATATCAATGAGAGAGAGAGAGAGAGAGAGAGAGAGAGATGGGTTGCGTCTCTCACACCCCCACCTGGGGACCCAGCCCACAATCTGGGCCTGTGCCTGACTGGAGAATGGAACTGGCAACCTTCTGGTTTGTAGGCCGGCACTCGGTCACCTGAGCCACGTCAGCCAGGGTTACTTTTTTACTTTTTTGTGTCCTTATATTCTGAATGTCTCTCTTATAAATAGCATTTTAAAAAGATAAAGAAGGAACATAAGGAAAGGGAGAAAGTATAAAGAGAGGAATAGAAAAGAAAAAAGAAGGTAAGAGGAAGAAGGGGTCGAGTAATTAATATTAGCTGTAACTTAAAGGCTTTCCATTGTCAAGACTATGTTTCCAGAGGTTTTCTTTCCTTCTTTTCCTGAAGGAGAGACAAGGACAAGAACCGGAAGGAAATAGGGAGAACGGAGACAAAAGTGGCTGGAGGAGGAGGAGGTGTTAAAATCCCTATAACATAGGTGTGGATGTCTCTGTACCCTAACGTGAATCTTTACATGCCTTTTTCTCACTCACAATTTCAGTTTAATGATGAGAAGAAGTTGATGAACTTCCATCAGAATCTTCAGGATATTACGGAAGATCAGCTGAGTTTGGCCTCAATCCACTACATGCGATCTCACTATCAAGAAGCTATTGATATTTATAAGCGAATACTGCTAGATAACAGGTCTGTGTCCTTTTATGCCCACTCGAAATCTCATTGTGTTAGTTTCTTCTGTAAGTGGTTTGGACAAGGGCCTAGTGTCCTTTGGATTTAGTATCACCATGTGTTCACATCTGTTAGCTATAATCGGGTGAGAGTAAGAACTCCTTATTGTCTAGATCAAGTTTTCCCCACCTTTAATTTCATTATCACCCTTCCAAGGAGTCTTTTTAGACTCTTTTTTCCCCTAATTGCCCTCCCTTGAAATTTTAATGGCACACACATACAGTATATCTGTTTATGTATTGTATGTATGTCTATGCTTTATACATAAAATTTCCCACCTCTTTGTAAGAACCAATTTTTGCCCCATTTAGGGATGATATTGCCCCTGTTGAAAATGCGTCCGTATCAATTTCAGTGTGGCAGTGCACTTTAGGGGAATTGCTGAAGAAATTAGAAATAAACCATTCTGAAAAATTAGCATTGCCACTTTATCACTGACCACTCGGCCCCCCTCCCACATCCCCAAAATAGTTCCCTCCACTTCCCTTCTCCCTTCTCTTGCTTTACCTTCACAGTCTCCCACCCATTCCTCTATTTAGCCATCAGGCCTGCTTGTCTGTCTGTCCATCCTCCGTATGGTGTATGCTTATTTGCATTCATACTCAATGATGGTGTTTGTTTTTTTTTTTAACATGAACAGGTAGGTGTTGAACTTTTCATTTTCTTCTCTGGTTGCCATCTTTTATTCTACTTATCAAAACGCCCAAATATTACAATGCAAAAAGAAAAACACTGCACTGATTACATCTTGCCTTCTTTCTTCAAAAGGCAAATTCATATCCTCTTTGCCTTGCTGTTTTTTCAGCCATTAAAAAAAGTCTTTGTAGGTTGACAGCATTTCTATGATATAGACTAAACCGTTAACCTTTCATTCTTTTATCTAATAGGGAGTACCTTGCCCTCAATGTGTATGTGGCTTTATGTTACTACAAGTTGGATTACTATGATGTGTCTCAAGAAGTTCTGGCTGTTTACCTTCAGCAAATTCCCGACAGTACCATCGCGCTCAATCTTAAGGCCTGTAACCATTTTCGCCTTTACAATGGCAAAGCAGCTGAGGTAGTGATGGAAATTTGTTTTTAACTTAATTCCAGTTTGAATTACCCTCTACTTCCTGGGTTATTCATGAAACTGTTATCTATAAGTTTTGATCAATATCCTTTATTATTACCAGGGTGATTCTATAAGAACCTAATTATATCAACATTTATATTTAGCAGATATTCTAAAAAGAATGTGGTATCTAAATTCTTTATGTATGCCTAATACATTGTAGATGATCTTTACCTAGATGCCTTACAGTAATTCAAATATGTGAAAATCAAATATTTTCACTTCTTCCTCTAAAATATGTTTGAGGCTCTGTGATTCAATGTCAATAATATGTAAATCACCTCAAATCCTAGGATATCCATCACTGTCTCCTTCATTCCCCAGCTCCAACCTGTTCTGTGTTCTCAGTGTCTCTTGTATTTGTCCCCTGTCCTCTTTGCCACTGTTCCAATCCTCATCTCTTGTTTCAGGTGTTTCCCTGCTTCTAGTCTTGTCCTCTCCAGTCCAGCCATTGCCTTTGCTCTGTACGCCGTACTCCCCGACTGCCATGGCTTTGTGTACACTGTTCTCCTTCCTGGACTGTCTTCCTTCGCTTGGTACCCTTCAGGGTCCCCTTCGGGGTTACCACAAGAGCCCTGACTGGTGTGACTCAGTGGGTTGGGCATTGCCCCGCAAACTAGAAGTTCACAAGTTCAATTCCCAATCAGGGCACATGCCTGGGTTGTGGGCCAGGTTCCCAGTTGGGGGCGCTCAAGAGGCAACCACACATCGATATTTCTCTCCCTCTCTTTCTCCCTCCCTTTCCGTCTCTCTAGAAATAAATAGATAAAATATTTTTTTAAAAAAGATCACCACAAGGATCAATAGTGGTAGACATTTTATAAATACTTAGAACTTAGGTATCTTATAAGTACTGTGCGGAACACTTTACATCCACTATTTAGTTTTCCTGACAATCCTGTGGGTAAATTCTCTTAGAGCTCTCTTTTTATAGGAAACGGAGAGTGCACAGGAGGTCATACATTATGACCCTCCTCCTTTTATTCTATTTAACATTTTATACACACACATGCACACATGTGCGTATAGAATAAATATATAAATAGAGAACATGTTCTATACCTGTATATAGACTCAATTATATACAGGGTGGGGAAACAATAGGTTTACAGTTGTGAGTATGCGAAACAAGAGTTCAGTCTTGTATTATTATTTATTAATTATTGTATTGTTTTCCATATAAACAACTGTAAACTTACTTTTGCCCCACCCTGTGCAGATATTTTTAAGTTTACCCTATGAGGGGGTCATGTTTGGAAATTATTTTCCTGGGCATTATTTTAGTTGATGTAAGAAGCCAACAAAATTGAAATGTAAAATTTCTGCATATGTCAAAATTTAAAAATGCCATCCTTGTCCAAAAGGCAGTTCCAGCTGGCATCATGCCACCCAGAGTAGGAGCAGGAAAGAAACTGAACCAGGAAATTAACTGTATCCAAGTAAAATTTGTGAAAATGGAGTAGCAGGGGCACTGTCAACTTGCTTCACACTGACAGGACATTCCACTCCTCTGGGACACAGTGTTAGTAGTTGGCAGGGGAGGGGGCGGTTGGAGAGCACCTGTCCTTAACATAAGCCCAGGCTCACGTCGACAAAGGTGGTTCGTTGTGGCAAAAGAAATGCCCTTTGATTAACTTGCTTAGTATACAAGCAAACAGTCCATTTATGTATTATATAAAATACACTCTTGGGGTTATTCATTCCAACTAAAGAGTCCCTTGAGTCTTACCTAATTGGCTACTTTCCAGCAGATCAGTTTAATAGTAACCCCAGTTTGCAGTTCGATCTCTCTAGAGTTTTCATCTTTGGTAAGAACAAATAAAAAATATATATTCTTGCCTTTGTACCTTGAATCAATCTTGTGGACTTCGCCCTTTCTGGCGTAGGATCTGATCTATTAAACGTTTACGTTTCCTCTTTCTATGGTCTAGTACGAGTAGCACGGTCAACCGATATTCTGCAGGTCTGGTTCTGCCCAACGCGGGCCACCAAACTGCACTTCCGTCCCCACAAGGCCTGCTTTTTCACTTGAAATCCTGTCAGTGCAATTTACATACTGACACACTCATAGAGAACACACTCTAGCAGTAGAGGACTGTCAAATGTACCATAAAAACTTTTTTGTTTGATAGCAAGAGGATACATTTTGTGTTTTCTTAAGATAATTTTTTTAAAACATTTACAGCCGGGCTTTCCTCCAGTACCTTGTGTAATGGATTCTGTATTATACAGTTCATTCCCTGCACAAACACCAATAGCATTCTGCTCTTCTATAGCAATTATGAAATACTTTGTAATGATTGACTTAACTCTTAATGTACTTTGAATAACTTGCTTAAAGTCTTACAAGTGGCCAATTCAGGTCTCAAACCCTTGGCTGTCTGGCGCTAAAGCCTTCTGTTCTATTGATCCTGCTGTCTGTTCCTGCTCTCAATACCAAGCTGCCTTAATTATGACGACTTTAAAATACGTTTTCATAGGATCCAGTTAGCTGATATTCCATTTAAGACTTTTGCATCAATACTTATCAATTTCATTAGTCTATAATTTCATTTTCTATTGTAACAGGTCATGTCAGTGTTTGGTCTAAAGATTTACTCTCTTCCTTAAATGAATGGAGAGAGTATCATATGCTACTGTTTTCTGAAAAAGTTTATACAGATATAACTTGGAGATATTGTGGGTTCAGTTCCAGACCCCCACAATAAAGTGTATATCAAAATAAAGTGAGTCACAAATTTTTGGTTTCCGAGTGCATATAAAAGTTATGTTTATGTTACACTGTAGTTTATTAAGTATACAAAAGGACAATCAATGTACATACCTTCATTAAAAAATATTATTGCTAAAAAAATGCTAACCACCACCTCAGCCATCAGCAAGTCTAATCTCTCTGCTGGTGGAGTCTTGCCTGGATGCTGATGGCCAGCGGCTGATCGGTGTGATGGCTGCTGAGGTTTGGGGCGGCCGTGGCAATCTCCTGGCTAACTAACTGTTTGATGCAAGAGGCCTAGCTCTTCCTGTCTTGACTTCAACATGCCTTCCTTACTGAGCTTGATCATTTCTAGCTTTTGATTTAAAATGAGAGACATACACACCTCTTTTTTCCACTTGAACACTTAGAGGCCTTTATAGAGTTATTAATTTGTCTAGTTTCAATGTTTTTGTGTCTCAGGGACTAGGGAGGCCTGAGGAGAGGGAGAGAGACAGGAGAATGGCCAGTCAGTTAGAACACAGGCAACGTTTATCTATTAAGTTTGCTCTCTTACATGGGCACGGATCATGGCACCCTGAAACAAAATGGTAACATCAAAGATCATTGATCACAGATCACCATACAAATATAATAATAATGAAAAAGTGTGAAATGTTGCAACAATTTACAAAATGTGACACAGAGACATGAAGTGAGCAAATGCTGTTGGAGAGATGGTGCCAATAGACTTGCTTGATGCAGGGTTGCCATAAACCTTTAATTTTTAAAACAGTACAACATCTACAACGCACAATAAAACAGCTCAAAGTGTGCCTGTATAAGATTGTCATGATTTCTCCATCAAATGTTTGCTAGAACTTCTTGATGAAGTCATCTCTAAACTTGGGAGATTTTAAATCACTAACTCAATTTCTCTAACGGTTGTAGCACTATTCATGTTTTCTATTTCTTGTGTTTTTTTTAAATTTTAAAAAAGAGTTTATTTACTTATTTTTAGAGAGAGGGGAAAGGAGAGAGAAAGAGAGGGAGAGAAACATCAATGTATGGTTGCCTCTCACACATCCGCTACTGTGGACCTGGCCCGCAACCCAGGCATGTGTCCTGACTGGGAATTGAACAAGCAACCCTTTGGTTTGCAGACCGACACTCAATTCACTGAGCAATGCCAGCCAGGGCAATTGTGTTATTTTTGATAGGTTGTACTTTTCTACAAGTTTGACCATTTCATTTACATTTTCACATTTTTTTATAGTTCTTCCAAAAACCCAACTTGGTTTTTTTAATCTCCTCTATTGTATCATTGTTTTCTACTGCATTAATTTCTGTACTTTCGTCATTTCCTTCCTATTGTTTTCCTTTAGTGGGTTAGTGCTGTACTTGAAAACATTGAAATGGATATTTAGCTTGTTTATTTTCAGTCTTTCTTCTTTTCTAAAATATTCAGTTGAAGTGATAAATTTCTAAGTATTGCTTTAAATGCATTCCAAGTTTGAGTATCAGTATGACTTCTGATTTTTAATATGAGTTATTTCAGATTAATTAGAAGAATTCTTCATTTCCCAATACATGGCAAATTTTCCAGTTATTTCAGTTACCTTTTTGTTAAGATAGCTAGCAAAATTACATTGTAGTCTGAGAAAGTATTCTGTATGATTCGAATCTCTTGGCATTTATTTCTTGAAACTTGTCTTATGGCTCCAATATATGGCTAGTTTTTCTAAGCTTTCCCTATGTATTTGAATAGAGTGTATACTCTGAAGGTATTTGGCGCAAGATTCCATATATGTCCATTAAGTCAAAGTAGTTTTTTATGATATGTCAAAGCTTCTATCGCTTTACTAATTTTATTGTCTGCTTACTGTTAATTACAGAGAGAACTGTGTTAAACTCTCTCACTATTACTGTGAATTTGTCTCTTCTGAGTCTTTCCATATTCACTTTATATATTTTGAGATCATTTTTTTAAGGAGTGTACAAATTTTAAATGGTTACATCTGTCTGGTGAACTGAAGCTTTTCTCAGTATAAACTGACTCCCTTTCTTCTAATTATGCTTTTTGCCTTAAAGACCATTTTGTGTGTTATTAATGTAGTTTTTCTTTTGGTTGTATTCCTAGGGTATGTTTTTACCATCCTTTTCCTTTTAACTTCTTTTTTTTTTAATCCTCATCAAGGATATGTTTGTTGACTTTAGAGAGAGAGAAGGGGGGGTGGGGTGCAGACAGAGAGAGAGAGAGAAACATCAGTGTGAGAGAAAAAACAGCAATTAGTTGCCTCCTGTACCCTCCCCAACTGGGGATCGAACCTGAACCCTAGGTGTGCGCCCTGACCTGGGATCGAACCCACAATCTTTTTCGTGTGCAGACAGCACTCCAACCAACTGAGCCACCCGGCCAGGGTTCCTTTTAACTTCTTTATAACTTCATATTAGAAGTATGTCTCTTGAAAAATATAGTTGGATTTTATTTATCATGCCTGAAGTTTTATCTTTTAAGTGGGGTATTTAATCCAATTAGATTTAATTACAGGTTATATTGTAATACTAATTATTTAGGTATAAACTACCATCTTGTTTCATGTTTCTATTTGTCTCACCACTTGTATTTCTTTTTTCTCCTTTTATGGTCATTTTGTTATTGGTTTTGATCAGCTATTTTTAATCTTTTTTTTTACTGTGCTAGTTTCAGAAGTTGTACACTCAGTTTTCATACTTTAGTGGTTATCATAAAAATTACCACAGGCATCCTTCATGTAACCAATTTTTTAAAAGATTTTATTTATTTATTTTTAGAGAGAGACAAAGGGGAAGGGCAGAAAGAGAGGGAGAGAAACATCTATGTGAGACAGAAACATGATTGGTTGCCTCTTGTACATGCCCTGACCAGGACCGAACCCACAACCCAGGCATGTGCCCTGAGCACGACGACACCAACCCGCTAAGCCACACTGGGTCAGGGCATGTAACCAAGCTTAATGTTATTCTTTACTCTCCTCAGCAGCAGAAAGACTTGATGAAATTTGCACTTCATTTGCTACCTTCCCAACTCATATGCTATTGTTGTCTTGTCCTTTACTATTATATATTTTTTAAAATTATTGCTGCTAAATCTAGTCATTTATTTAGTGTTACCAACATTTTAAAGTATTGTATTCTTTCCTCTTTATTCTTAATTGTAACTGAAAGCTTCCATCAGGGATCCTTTTGCTATTGATTGAAGTAAAGCTTATCCTGCAGAATCTCTTTAGTGAGAGTCTGGCGGCAAACGTTTTATTTGTCTGAAAATGTCATTGTTTTGCCTTCTCTATATGATAGAATATTTTCATTAGGTATAGGATACCTTATTGGCACATTGAAGATACCTTTCCATTATCTTCTAGCTCCATTTTTATGTTGAGAAGCCAGCCATCAATCTAACTTTATTTGGAAGTAATCTATCATTTTTGGTTTGCAGGCCGGCACTCAGTCCACTGAGCCACACCAGCCAGGGCTCCTGAAAGTAATCTATCATTTTTAATAAAAATTTTATTTAACATTTTTATTGCTTTTTATTTCCTTCAGTTTCATTATGATTTAACTAGGTGTAAACTTTAAAAAAATATTTTTGTCTTCATGGGACTTACTGAATTGGTGGATTAATGATTCTAATCAGTTAGGAAGAATTCTCAGCCATTTTCTCTCAGATTTTCCTTCTCCCATTATTGCTCATATTTACCCTCAGGAACTGCAGTCAAGCATGAGTTAGACCCTTTCAGAGCAGGTCTAACCCTGTCCTTCCTTCTTTACTTTCCTCTGTCTCTCGGTGCTGTGCTTGGCAGTGTTCCTTCACCCCCTCCTCCCATTCGGGGATTCTTGTTTGTGATGCGTCTCCCCTGCTGTGAAACTGATGCAGGGCGGTCCAGGGATGTCAGGGCTGATCAAGGAAACAGATATGACCCTGAGGTGACAACAGCACCCCCAGACTATCTGGATGATGCTTTGAAAGGTTTCTGGTGGCGGGGAAGTTCCTCTTAGAATGTTACTGTCCGGAGACTGTGACGGCACAAGGACCTTCCAGAATGGGAGGAGGCGTGCCAGGTGGCTCCCAGGGAGGAGGGCGTCTGCACAGTAACTTCTCTAGGTGACGTCTCTCCGCGGCAGGGTGGGGGTGTTGGCGTCAGAGGCTGCTTGAGGTCTGATAGGCAACAGCGGCTTCGGTTCTTTCTAGCCCTGGGGTTTATCTTATCTATGGCTAGCAGATGTTCCGGAAGTTTTGGGGGTATGAAAAACAGGCAGAATCTCAAATATGTTTATTTGGGCTCCATTTAAAACAATTGGATGTGCCCCGGCCAGACAGCTCCTTTGGTTGGACCGTTATCCCCACCCCGACCCTGGTCAGGGCGCATACAAGAAACAAGCCTAAGTAAGTGGAACAACAAGTCAGTGTCTCTCAATCTCTCCCATCAATGAATTTTAAAAAATTTTAATTAAAAATAAATAAATAGAACAATCAGCTGTGTAAAATTGGAGCTTGGTGCCAAAAAGCTTTGGAGCTAGTGGATCTCAGCCTGCTGTGAAAATATAAACAAGCTAGGATCCAATATCTACAATGGCCATTTTTGGCTCAATAATGTAATACCTAGCCATATAGTTATTAACTTTGTTTACAATATTTTATATTTCCAGAAGTTCTTTCTTTGTTAAAAATTTTCACATTTTGCTGTTTCCACTTTTACGCTTGTACATATATATTTTATTTTCTTAAACATTGTCAGCATACTTGTTTTGTGATCTAAGTTTGAGTATTTGAATTTCTGAAATTTTTGTGGGCTTGATTCTGGTTTTTTCATTTCTCCTGGTTCTCCCTCAAGGAGCCTAGTTTCTTTGAATGTCAGCTTATCTTTGAGTGTATGCTCGACACAGTATTTGAAAAATTATTTACAGGAATAACTTATTTAAAGTCTACAATAAAGGCACTTTTCTTCCTAAGTGATATGCATTTACTCTGTGAGATATCCAGGAGAACTATCCGTTTGAGACCCCCTTGAACCAAATTCAAGGCTTGAGATCGCCTGAGCTGCCCATGGAAGCCCAGGTGGGCTGCAATTCTGCACTAGAGATAGTCCAGTTCTATTCATCCCTCTTTTGCCCGCGGAGCTCTGGGGAGGCGTGGTTGACTGCAGGCAGCGGGCTCCTGCAAGATGCCCTGTGCAGATTCTGGACTTTGTTTTTTGTTCTTGTTGCCTGGCAAGACTGTCAACTAAAAGTTTTAATTGTATAGAATCAGTATAGCCTTCAGGGGAAAAATAGCTTGATTTTTGGTCTGGTAACTTCTTACTTTGGTATTTTTAAGAAAATGTTTTAAACTATTTTATTTGATAGTTTTAAACTATTTTATTTGGTATTTTTAAGAAAATGTTTTAAATTATCTATTTTATTTGATTCATTTTATTTTATTTGTTTTCAATGAGAGCATTGATTTGAATAATGTAGCCTAGTGGCTCTCAAATTGCGACCTGGGACTCCATTTCCTGGGGTCTGTGAGGCAGGGCCTGGGCGCATGTGCCTGGGCGCATGTGAGGCGAGCAAGTTGCCCAGGTGCAGGATGGAAGAGTTGAGCACTTGCCCGCGGCACCAATGCTAGGGGGCGCTGGTTTACCTCTGCATGCCGGGCACCTCACTTGCCTCGCCCTTAGTTCTGGCTGGCCCTGCTTGAGGTTAAAACCAACCTGGGAATACGAAAAGATTCTGTCTTTTCAGTTTCACTCTCTCAAGTGTTCAATGAAGTCGTCCAGAGACAATGTGATTTCAAAATAGTTCAAATGCAGTTACAGAAATGCCAGTGTAGCTGCCCTCTATTAGGCTGGAGGCTTAATGCACTCTTCTCACAAAATTTTTGTCTTGGAAAAATTGGTTTTAAAAATATATATATATAATTTAGGTTAATGTATAGTAGGTTCATAATTTTAGATTAATTGAATACTTAAAATTTTTTGTCTTAAATTCTAATGCAAAAAATACTGATGACAACAACCCACAAAACAAAAACTCTTTGGAATCCTTGATAATATTGAAGATTATAAAAGGGATCTTGAGATTTAAAAGCTTGAAAACTGCTGATTGGCATAATATTACCCCACACTTGGGAATCGCTGCTATGATCAAGAGTTTATTAAAAGGATTTCTGAGTGGACATGCACATCCATCAGTGATCAGGTAGAACAAGCTTACAGTGGTTAGTGAGAATAATCAAGAATTTAATAAGTTTATCCAGAAAAGCTTAGCTACCGCTGAAAAAGTAGAAAAAAAAGGAAGGGGGGATTACTCAAAATTATAGATTGGCAGGGTAGGAATAGCAGCAAGCTGATGAAGGGATGATTCTAGTGGCTTAGTGAAGACAGTGGACATGGTTGACCAATTCTTCGAAGGGGTGTTAAGGAGTCAGGAGAACACAGAAGAGATCTGATGGGTCTAATAAAAAATAAAAGAGGGAAGAATTGCAGGAAGGAGGTAGTGTGAGAATTCAGGATGTAGGTGGAAAGGTCAGATTGAAGAATCAACCTCAGTTGCTAAAAGTTTAGCTCCTTTATCACCTTTGGCCCTGATAGAAAAGGCCAACTCTAAGGAGTCTTCAGACTTGGTTTCACTGATTTCAAACTTGCTGCTTAGTGTAAGGTTCAAGTCACTTAACTTTTATAACCCTCGATGTCCTCAACTGTAAAATGAGAATAATGATAATTACCTTATTTCTTCAAATCCCGAGGGACAAATGAAATAGCATGTTAAATTTGACACTATAAAACATTGTTTAAATATGTGGTGTTAGAACTTGTCATTTTCATAAGTCTTTCCTTTTTCAATTTCAGGCGGAACTCAAGAGCTTGATGGACAACGCTTCTTCTTCCTTTGAATTTGCAAAAGAGCTCATCAGGCACAATCTGGTGAATAATAGTTTCCTTTCTTGACTTACTTGTGTCCTACCCTATTTAGCACATCTCAGCAGTTAGAAAGATGAATGAAGAGAGATATTTCAGCAAATATTCCTCTATTCCAAGTGAACTCCTCTTTGCTGTCCAGGAGAGAAAATGTGTTTAAAGTGTCAGGCCTTTTCATCAAGGAAATCCTTATTGGGAGGATAGTAATACATAAGGTGGGCAAAAGTAGGTGGGCAATTGTAACACAAAGAAATAACACAATATTTATAAATAATAATACAGGAATAAACTGTTTTCATGTACTTCCAACTGTAAGCCTACTTTTACCCACTCCATATATGTAAGGGAGGAAAAATAATTTTTCTTTTACCCTTCTAAGTTCTTGTGGCTTGTCTAATAATTACACTGACATGAGACAGACTAACAAGCCAAATAACCAAATGTATTACATGTATACATATAAAGGCTTCATAAGAATACGGGTCCTGAGGACAAATCAGGCAGTTGCTTTAAAGCTGTCTTGAGCTAAGGAGATAGGGGGTAGTGGTTTGGACTTCAAAGGGAAGGTAAGCAATTCAGAGGTAAATGCTAAGGAGCAAGAATTTGGTAAACAGATTGTTGCTGGGCCACCCAGAAACAAGGGGACTCAAGGAGGACTCTAACAAACAAGCGTTGCTGGGTTCCTCCCTGTCTGCCACACTTAGGTCGCATGAAAATACAGTTTTCTATGATTGCTCCCTTCCTGGTGCAGGTTTTCCTACCTAAATTCCTCTTCTCAGGTGCAAGGCTCCTCTTGAGTCTTTTGTTGCTTAAGGGTAACCAGCTTAAAATAATCAATATCCCAAAAAAGGCACATTTTGGAGTGGCAAACTGCTCCCCAACACATAACATTTAGAAAGATGTGCGAGGCAGCGTAGGTCCAAGTGTTTGGTCCCTTGGCAAAGACAGGGGAACCGATTCTTGAAGATTAGAATAAATGGGAAAGGTTTTCTGTGAAAGTAAACACCGAGTTCTTCTTTGAAGGATGGCTGAGACTTAGAACTAGGATCACATGTGTAAAAGGTTGTGAGCAGACTGAACTTGCTAGAACAGACAGTTTGCAGCGAGGCCTAGTGAAAAGTCAAGTTGTACTTAGCAGGAAAGTACGGGGGCGGGGGTGGGGTGGGGAGGGGTGGCCACTGCTCAGCATCCAGACACACGAAGTCTGATGCTGTTGACCGTGCAGTGTTGTGGGTGCAAGGTAGCTGCTTTCAACTCAGGCATCTGGCACATTGAGCAAGTTATTTAATATTGTGGAGTTTCAGATTCCTCATCTAAAAATGGCAATAATAATGATACCTTTTCCTTCCGATTTCTCTGTTTCTTTCTTTAGCACCAGTTTTCCCAGGATACTTGCTGCAAACCATAGTTGTTTTAGACTCTCTTCCTTCCTTGATTTCTGATACCTACTCAGTCATGCACATTTATTATATTATTTCTATAAGTCAGGCCTACATCACAAATGGAGCCTTTTTTGGATAATTTCTCTTATGAGCTTCTGCTTCTACTCTTTTCACTTCTAATCTAGTTTATAAAGCTAGAATAATTTTTGTGGAAAATGATGTGTTAGAAACAATAGTCTGGCTATTAAGCGTGGACAGAGGTCGAGACTGGAGAATAGGGTTAGGAGTTTTCATAAGGAAAGTGATCACCAAAGTCCTGATAACTAAATGCAGAAGACCGAGTTAAAAACAGAGAAAAATATGGTTCCAGGAGAGCATCTATATTTAAGGGACTGGAGGAAGGAGCGTAAGCAAATAAGGCAGGAAAAGGCACGCAAAAAAGAGCACCTAGATGACATAATGTCATTTACAGCTCCACATTTGGATCATGTGGGAGGTTTGTAAAAATTATGGTGCATGGGCTGCACCCCCGGAGCTTTTTATTTAATGGCTGGGCTGGGGCCCAACTATCAGTATTTTTCTTAGAAGCCTTCCAGGTGGGCATAATAGGCAGCTACAGGGAAACACCACTATATGTATATTAAAAACCCCACTGAATATATGGGAGGAGCATGTCAGCTAGTAAATAGGGATTATTCTTGGAGAGTGAGATTAAAGAAAGAAGTAACAATATGGACATTCCCCCCCCCCCTTTTTTTTTTTACAAAGTTTTTTCTCTCAATGAACACATATTACTTTTAAAGTTTAAAACAAAACTTGGAAAATACTGAACCACATAAATGGTTGTTGGGAACACCAACTTTAGCAGTCAGATTTGAGGTCAAAATCAAGCTGCATACTAGCTTTGTAAGAGCTTTTACCTCCCCCTTACTTGCTAAAGAGTTTCACATAGAAAAATCTGCTTCAGGAAGGGAAATGGAGCGTATTTACCTTAGCATATTCACCTTAGTGCATATGAATTAAGTGTGGCAGATAGGGAGGATCCGAGCACAGACCTGTTCCCTAGATTCCCCTTTGTTTGTGGGTGGCCCTGCAAACATTTGTTTACCAAATGCTTGCTCTTCCTCAACTACCTGTGAATTGCCTACCTCCCCTTTCTTTGTCCAAAATGACATATCTACCTCATTTTGCCTCACTGTCTTTGGAATGCGTATGTGAATTCCCCATACACACATATTAAATTTGATTTTCTCCTTTTAGTCTGCTGGGTGTCCTTTGAATTATTTGACCAGCCAGAAGAATGAAGGAGGCAAGGGGAGAGCTGTCCCGGCTGGACAGAAGTCCGCTAGCGTGTAGCAAGCATTCAGGAAAGCCTGCTTTCGCTGTCATGGCGTCAGGGTCCAGGCTGCAGACACGCCATGGAGCAGGAGGGCCGAAAAGGCCATTGACTTTGGTTGAAAGGGTTAATCTGTGTTTTGTGAGGGTAAATATACTAGTGTGCTGAGGGCAGAAACCACCGTTCTGAGAGGTTAACGGTGAGAGGAGAAGAGAGTTGAGGTAGGGAGCCACATACTTTTGAAGGTGCCATGGAAGAAAGGAGAAAACTAGGTGCAATCCAGAGGGAACAATGGCACGCACGTAGTGCAACATTTTTTGGCAGAGCAAAAACCCTTGTATATGTTTAAAGTTGAGAAGTAGGACCATGGCTAATGAAGAATTAATTACTGGAGAAGCAAGGTCCAGATGGAGTTAGAAGTCATAAGAGTAAGAAGACAAGTGAAGGAATTAATTGAGGTGAAAGAAGTGAACATCTGGGATAAGAAGGAATTAAAAAAAAACGACTAAATAGATGCTTTGAGATAGAGGGTCTTGATTTCTGCACATTTACTTGTGAAACAACTTGCTCTGGGCCGGACACTGTGCTGGGCTCTGGGGACACGACCGTGAGCAGAACTGTCCTCTCATGGGTGGTGGTTTCGTTTTAGCCGCCCTCTATCACCTTTGTCATCACATGACAACACACTTACGTGTTTGCTTTTTGAAGGTCTCTCCTCCCTTGAATACAGCCTGGACTGTGACAGGGGAGTGACTCGTTCCCACTGTAACCCTTGTGCTTATTACCATGCCAGACATCTAGTCGGTGCTGATGAATATTTACTGAATTAATTAAATGAAACATTACCTACTGCGGGCCACACCTTTAGCCACTTTAACTCACTTAATCTTCACGATAACCCCGAAAGGTATACATTACTAATGCCACTTAGAGATGAGGAAACAGGCTCAGAAAAGGTTATGTAAATTCCTTCATGGGATTTTTGATGTAGAATATCTGTCTAGAAAAAAGTTTCATGAATTACTGGGTACTTTCAGAGTTTTCTGAAGTTTTTATGAAGAGAAAAGGAAATGTATGCTCTTCCTTTATTTCTTTTTTATACTAGGTATAATTTAGATAATGGCTTTTTTTTTTTCCCCAGTGAGGTTGAGATTATGTGTATATAGAGAGCTTCAAAAATATCCTCATCTTTTCAAAGAATAACTGAGTGCTGACTATACTAGTTACAGTCCTAGGGACGGAGAGTACTCAGTAAATGCAAAGTTCCCTGTCATATGGAGCTTATATGCTGGTGGGTGTAACAGATAAAAAATATGTAAAATGAAGTTATAAAGAACAAGAAGGGTATAAAGACTGATAGTGGAGATAGGTTTTAGATAGGATAAAAAAAGAAATATTTAAATACAAGGATCAAAATTAGAGGGGAAGGGAAAGAAGAGAGATAAGAGCACAGGCAATAGTTAGTGCAATAATACAATCAGTGAGTGACAAAAGTTCTCAAGATACTGACTGATGCCCAGAGCTGCTTTAGTTGGCTATCATGTACCCAGTTATGTGGGGCCGCTTCTGAAACATTTCCATCAATAAAAATGTTTGCACTTACTGCCACAATAACACACTTCCCTGTGTCTAGGTGGTTTTCCGAGGAGGGGAAGGGGCCCTGCAGGTTTTGCCTCCCCTGGTTGATGTCATTCCTGAAGCGAGACTGAACTTAGTGATTTACTACCTTCGCCAAGGTGAGAAAAATGTGTCTTGGTCTTGCTTTTCAAGATATACTTTACGACATTTAATCTCTAATTGAACTATTTGCTTAGCTTTTAAAATCCATAACGCTTCCAAAGCTATATTTGCAACAGGTTCACAGGGCGGAGCAAATTGCCTGGTGCTTATTGGTTGTGCCTGGACTTGCTGGCCTCTTTCCTCTGCTGCGCATCCCACCTTCTCCCTCATTCTTTTTTTCCTGTTTTCCTCTTCTTTTTCTCTCCTTTGTTCTCTGCCCATTCTCTTTTAGTTTTCCATTGTGTTCCTTCTCCTCCTGGGCAGTTCTTTTTTCAGTGTTCCCCTGTGTATAATGCACATCGTCATCCTCTTGAGCCTTTAAATCATTAACTGCTTTTTATTTGCTCTACTTGTCTGCCTTTCTGTTTCTTTGTGCCCCTGGTTTCTTACAAGAAATATTATGATTTAAAGAGACTGTGATTTTTTTTTAGTGCCCCTAAGTAGGTTGAAACTGTTAGACACATGCCTCAAGCAGTTTTATCTAATAGCTGCGGGCCCAGGGCGGCAGCGGCCCTCCGTGGCGGTGGCCCTCC